CCAAAACAAATGTCTTTTCTCGTTATAAACCACCAGTAGACAAACTTTCAATTAAATTTGATTTGAAAGTGCAGATCAAACCTTGGATTTTTTCACAACAGGCCACAAGTTAAATTCTTATCACTAAAACTAGAAAGGCTTTAAATCCAATAACATATAAATTATATTATCTGTACAGCAAATAGGTTTGGTCTAATGTTAAGAAAAAAGTTTAAACCAAATTACTGTCCTTTTAAGTTCATTTGTAAAAAAATGGCACCACAGTTTACCCTTTATCACTAAAACAAAACCAGTGTCTCCTGATACACATGCAGTTCTTTACTATCACAGGAAGTAGTGCTTTAAACCCCATCACCGTTCCAGAGAAGGAGGTATTCTTACAGATTCAGCTGTGTCTGGCTTTTTAGCTGGTAAACCAATGTCAGGAACATTTACGGAAAAACGATGTTCCAATTAGTAAGACATTGTGAGACTAATGGCTGAGAAATTCTGCTCTGATAGTGAAAGGCTCATGTTCAAAGAACCTTACACTCCCCAGAAATGCAATGCATGCACTTAGTAATCTTCTTTCGTAGTGTCACCATCTTGGGTTTCTTGCGGGTTTTCATGAATGTCAGTTTCAAAGGGAGGTTGCATTTTTCAGTGAATTTTTTGACTAGGAAAACTTCAGATCAGGAAAAGGGAGTGGTATAAAATGCTTTCTTTACCAGCTGAGAATCAGGAAAAAGTTTAGAAAGCTGTTCCATGGGTAAAAAAATTAGGTGATAAAGGGATAGGGAAAATTTGGGAGGAAAATCCATGATCACTATTGGATAGCAATTGGTGTGAGATTTTAAATCTAATTTTTTTTCATCAAATTAATTAGGATTCTTTATCTTTTATCAAAATACAACACGACGATGTTGTGCTTTGCAAGGTCAGATCAGATATAACGGGTAATGAAGACTTCTGTCTGCCATATTTTCTCATCTAAGGGTCAAAACCTATCAAAATGGCAGCCTTGAGGCTGGAACAAGGAAAAGAGACCAGATAATAGCTGTCATAACCTACCCTAGGAGTGAAAATGCAAATAGCAATGAAGTATTTTTACAGTTCCCAAGGATGGTGAAAGACGGAAAGAATGAAACAAAGAATGGCAGACACAGATAGAGATTGAGATAATTTATTTTACATTATGAATAATTTAGGTATAAAATATTTCAAAGCATTATTTTTCACATCATCAAAACAATGTCAATTATCTTTTACTCTGTAACATTTATTCAGTTGAAAAGCAAATTTTGAATCATGAAACGGTTATTTTTTATATGTTTTCTGCAGCTGTCTTTTCTACGAACCTGTCATTTCATGTCTGACAGAGTCAGGCAGATGGTTTGTGGTTGCCAAGGTGCATCTTTGACCCTATCTGTGGTATGACTTTAATGAACATGTCTAAGATATCTGCCTTTTTGAAGCAGGTTACAAAGATTTCACCAAATTCTGCCACATGTTATAGATATATGTACTTGTAGCAAAATTTTAATGTGTCATACCTGTGAATATCTGTAAAATACATTTAGTAGTTTAGTTGATCAAAATTCATAGCTCTCCCCATTTTGACAAAATAGAAGTAATCAAAAAACTTTCTTAAAAGCCCAAAATTTTTTATATATGTAATATTTTAATTTCATTGACATCCAATACAACTGATGGCTATCTATACATTCATAACTGATTACTTCTCCTCATTGGTCATTTTCTATGAAAACTAAAATGGGCATAAAATCTGCGTCTAACCTAAGGGGATGACCAGCCGCTTGCTAAGGCCCCATTAAATTGTTCCTACATGTCATTAAATGATTGTCTCCAACCCAAAGTGACACCTAGTTAAAGTGTCACGTCTATTGTTTTCCTTCTTCTAATTGGCTTCTCACCAATCAATCTTTTATAGATGCTGCGCTAATGTACGGCTTGGTACACGCGCATTGTAATTTCTGAAAGCTGGTTCTTCATTTTGCGTTTTATTGGCCGTGCCGCTATTGTTTCTATCACTAACTATTCTAGCCCACCCCCAGGGCTTGGTTAATATTCATGATAATGTAACCAAGTTCCGAGCATCGTGTTTTATAGCACACATGTGAGCTGAAAGACCCAGTATTGTTATAGTAGTTCATGTAGTAGTAGGTGTAGTATTTGAATAAATCGACCTTTGGAGAAAGGATATATCTATTTGGAAACCTGGCATTCCAATAAGGTGGATTTTGGAGCTTAATTTTCTGTATTTTGATGGATATGGAATGGTGGAGCTAGCTTTGGTGATTTTTAAAGGTAATTCCAAATCATTTTTTTCAAAGGAAAAAAAAACAACTATAGGTTAACCAGATATTAACTGCAATTTTTAAGATTTTCCCCAGTCAGCAAAAGTTAATTTCATCAAGGGACAAAGGTACACTTAAAAGCATTTTCAAATTACTAAAACATTTCATAAAAAGCTAAACATCAGCAAAAAACTTACATATTTTATAAAAACCAAATTATTTTCTTAATCTAATTTGAGACCCACAAGGACCAAATGTTCAGAAAATAATTGACACATTCATTATTCATCGGAGTGTGTTCTGGACACACAGGTTTAATTGAATTGAAACGTGGGCTGGTTTAGTTTACTTAAACCTGCTGTGCCCCCATATGCTTCCTATTGCCATACCTTTGGGTTTTCGGACCTAATTGTGTCCAAAAATCCTTCTAATGAAAGAACATTTTTTAAACTGGAATGTTGGCATTGTCAGGTATACAGGTGATTTATAGCTAATTTCCTATGATCGCATTTCAAAGTTAATAGTTTTGTATTCATGGTTGTTTGTTTTGCATGGCCATTTAAAATCACAATATTCAATTGACTCATAGCACATGCAATGTCAACTTGTTCTTCAAGTACAGTTAATTTGCCCAAGATATAAATGTATAAGATGTCATTTTTTTCATTCGATCTAGCCACAAAGAATGCCATTTTTTTCTCATCATCATCATTTTCTTTTTCTTAATAAAATAACATTTATAAGAAATCACTCCTAGCATCTTGTTGTGCATAAGGCCACAGGAGTGGTTGAAATGAAATGAGATGAAAATAAAAACATGCAGTTCGTTCTGATCAAAACGGTTCTTAAAACTTTCAGAGCCAACCCTTCCCTTTAAAGATATCTACAGTTTCATTTTTTCTTTCTTTTTGACACCCATTGTCACTTTGTCGTTAGAGTCATCAACCTTTGCCAAGGTTCAAATGGAATGATACAATTATTGCATTAAGACATCCTTTCACGGCATATGTTTTTTTCTACTGAGTGCTGAAAGTTGTTTAAAGTTTATGATTAAGTGCCCTCAGTGTTAAAAGGGCATAATATCTATAATTCAAATCTTCTGTTTTTTCCTTCTCTTTGAAACCCATGAAAGAATGCATCCAGACTATAATTCTAAAAGGGACTATTAGACTTTCAAGTGAATGTCAAGCATATCTATCTTTTAACTTTTGCTTTCAAACAGTTAAAGGTCTTGCCCATTTAAAACAGATGGTAAATCAGTTGATCCTATTTAATTAAGAGTTCAAGCTGTTTTAGAGAAAAAAAAACTAACCCAAGGTGTCAAAAAAGACATTTATTTTCATATGGTTTCTTTCTTCACAAGTCTTCATATCTTTGATGAGGCACACTGAAATATGTAAATGCCGATGTCCTACTGGCTATAAAACAGACCTTATTTCATTAAACTAGACTGCTACTGATTTATCTAGAGACACAACAGACAAAAATTTTGGTCTAGACACAAAGTTTAGACCAATTTTGGACTAAAGTTATTTTGTGAAAGACAACTACTGACTAAATAGTAATGTGCAGTGCAACCACTGCATAAAACAGAAAATGAAGTATCTCTGTGGAGTCAATTCCAATAAAACAGAGAGAGAGATTGTAATTAAAACCCACAGGAAACACTTGCAATAAACTATGAAGGAAACAGGATAATAAGTAAGAGAGAAATCACTTAATGCAAAGTAACAACATCAAAAGTGAAAATAAAGCCATAAGAGAACCTGCATTTCCAGCAATATCAATCTCAGAAAGTGTTTATTTATTTATTTAAAGAGTAAGAAATGCCCCCTGTAACTGTACCATTACAGAAATAAAAAATACAACATGTATAAGAATACACAATCACAACAAACAACAAGGACACAAAAACAAACACTAAGAAAACATGACACCCCCAAAATAAAATAAAAACATTACAAAAGCAACACACACAATAAAAAACTTACATTACTACATACACAGTCAGTCATAGTATTTCCCAACAAGCACACAGTCAGTTTTCAATCCCCTAAATGACAGCTATAGGGTGTTCTTGTATACAAGTCCCCTTTATGCACAGTGACAATGCACAGCCATATCAAGTTTTTTTACCACCTACTAGCGCTGAGTGATAGCAGAGCTAATTATATCAAAAACTACCTCTGTCCTTCAACCAACCTGTCCATTACAGTGACAGGCTGTTTCACCCCAGGTTTTCACTAAAACTTTGATATTTACAGTCTCTGTTTTTTATTTTGGCTATTTTGCTGCATTTTGACAGGCATAATTTCAATGCACTGATAAAGGGCTCTGTTGTATTAATTATAGACATGTTGAAAAGTTTTCCTACCACACAAATTGACCAGTTTCTTAAATACGACATTCTCTCTACCTATCTGATATAAATCACCTATACTACAAACATATGTTTTATTAAAATTACAGTATATTCTGGTACACTGAAATTCAATTCATGAATAAATTTGCAAAAGTTTTCACCAATGATAATGCTTTCTTATCAACAAATGATCAAGCTGAAATCGAAAGCCCAAACAGATTCCATCCCCCACACATATTTCCTACTTTACAGCAAAACACTTCTATTCAAATGACCTGACAAAAAAGGGGAGGGAATCGTCACTGCCAATCCACTAAACTTAGTTTGTTTTACTCTTTCAGGTATCCTATTAGCATCCAGCTGTGAACCACAATTAGGCTCTTTGGACCAATCGAGTGGCACAAGACAAATCAGAAAGCCAAGAATTACAAAAAAACGTCTGCTTCATCTCTGAAAAGAAAGAAAAATTGTCTGACATCCCACCAAGTTCAGTGAACACCAAAGAAGTCCAGGCACAGCAGGAGATCTCCTTTCTTGACTTAAGAAAAATGACATCTGATTACTGAAAAGATCTCAGCTGAATAGAAACCAGAAATCAGTTAAAAGGGCTGTTGCATTTTTCTCCACTGGGACAGAACTTAGCAGATTTAAAGACAGACACATTTTTGGGATTTATCCATTCTTCTCCATTGGGTAAAAACTACAGGCAGAGACATCTGAAGGATTTGTCTATTTCTGCTCACTGGACAGAAACCAAAAAGAATTCTTTGAAACAGAAGTATCACATAGAACACCAGCACAGTTGGAGCACCATCTGCATGGTGTAATACTAAAACATCAGTTCTGTGCTAAAATACAGTCTGCAACCTTTAGACACAGGTGTCTTGAACGTGTTTACACTTGTGAGCAACTCACATATGTCACATATTTAAAACTAACAGGGGGAATGTTGTCACGGTGACATATGCACTTTACATGTAAAAACTCCAAATATTTTTTGACCACCAGAGAACTACGCAGGTGTTCTTCACAGTGGATTGTGTTCAATATTCATTCTTCGAAGTCTACGAAATAATCTTCCATTATGCCAAGAGTGCTGAAATCTAGTGGCCGTTTTTTGCCTAGGATGTGCATCACGTGCGGGCTACCAATTTTATTTCTGTGCCTTTTGTGGAGTTCGGGTGCTTACGCCAATGTGCAGACAGATTGTGACATCACAGGATACACGGTGGAATGTCGTTACACGAACATGTCTAAAATCCCATCTGATCTGCCAAGTAATACACAGATTTTGAAATTTTATCGTAACAACATCCCGATCATTACAAACTATTCGTTCGCACCGAATCTCATGGCAGCGCCGAATCTGAAGGAGATTTATCTCAATTTCAACTATATACAGAGACTTGAGCTGAAAGCCTTTGCCTTTTTGTCGAAGTTGAGGATTTTGCAGCTTTCAACCAATGAAATCACTACACTTCCAAACAACGTATTCCAAGATCTGGCCAGTCTTCAGGCACTATCCATTGCCGAAAACAGACTAGAGTTAATTGCTGAGAATGCCTTCAAAAACTTAACCAATCTGCAGACACTGGACCTCAGTTTCAATCGACTGACAAAAATTTCGGCAAATATGCTAAAGCCGCTGAAAAATCTCCAAACACTTCTGCTGGGAAATAACCTGATTACATACTTCGAAAGTGGCTCCTTCCTGTCTCTGCTCAACCTCCAAACCCTCGAGCTCCAGAAAAACAAGGTGGATAGGATTCCGGAAGGCTCCTTCAATAACATAACTGCCCTGGAACTCATCAACTTTGGTGAAAACAAGCTCCGCCATCTTACACCTCAAATTTTTTCACCAATGACGCGTCTCCACACCCTGAATCTCAAGGGAAACGAGTTTGAGTGTGACTGCACCCTCCGGCCATTTAGAGAGTGGATGGAGAGCAGAGAATTCTCCCCGGTTAATGTCACAAAAGTTGAGTGGACGGACCAGGACAGCGGGCAATGCGCTGGACCGCCAAACCTTCGCAATTACCTCTTGCGCCAATTGCCAGTTTCCATGTTCATCTGTACCACAACTACAACTACGACTACAACCACCACAACCACCCCGACCACTACCACCACCAGCACTACGACCACAACAACAACGCCAGTTCCGACCACTAGATCCAGCAAAGCCACAGATGCAGCTACAAGTTCTACAGTTCTCACATCCGGGGGCATTATTGTGGTAACTTCAGTGGCACCTGTTGAACCATCGCCAGCACCATGGAACCTTCCTTTAACACAAGATGAGTTCATCGGCATCATGATCGCAGGAGGACTGGCTCTAGTTCTCCTCATCATTCTCATCATAGTGTTCTGTAAATTCAGAAATCGCCTTTTCTGCAAGAACAAGAAAGAGCACAACAACAATCTTAGTAAAGTACAAATCATTCCACCGAGAAAACCCATGGGCAGCACGGGTAGTTCAGGCTCTACCGACAGTCGCAAAGTGGGCTATGACAATGAAATCAATGACAAAAAGCACCTTACGAGCATCAGTCTCTTAAGCAATGGAAAACTCCACAATGGGCACAGTGGACCCAATGGACATATCCCACATCATGGGAACGGACATCTTCCACAGGGAAATGGGAATGTCCCACATCATGGGCATCCCGCTGTTATCCCGTTTGGGAACGGCAGTGTCCCACACCAACAAACTCAACACCATCATAACAATGGGGACATCTTGCCAAAAATGTACTATGAAAATTCAGACTTGTTTTACGACAAGACCTCCGCAAATAAGAGGTCACTTGACTCTATAAACACATCGGGGCATGGAAGCACATCCTTGAACTTTGAAAATAATAGGGACTCCATGAACCCCACGCCTTTAAGTCTAAAAAAGATTCATCTAGAAACGCTAGTGTAGCGTTTGTTGAAAGATAAAGAGTTTTTATATCAATATATAATTTTGTATAAATGTACATATTTCATCCATACTTATTGCCATAACAGACATGAATTAATCTCAGTTCAGTAATTAGAACCAGGATTTTGCCACGTGAAGTGTGAAGTTTTGTTGCCATGGCAATGAAAACATCTACATGTATTATAAAATCAAGAACCTAGGTTACAATGGTTCCAAGTGACGGGTGCCTTTTAGATCAGATCTACCTTGATACAGCATGTTCTATGCTTCTGTGTAGGTATAAATTTGCATAAACACTGTCAAATAAGAACTCTGAGTTTCAAAGAGTAACCTATGCCTTGACATTAGAAAAAGCATGTCAATAATCGTAGTTCATTGGTTATTTAAAGTGAATGTCCAAACATGCTGAAACTGAATTATTTTCACCTCCTGTTGCATGGCAACTTAACATTACCATTAAAATTATTTGATACGCCTTTAAGGACCAAGATATAAGACTAATAATGGTGTCAAAACTAGAGGCTTCCCACTGAATATGTAAATTTGATAATATTATGTTCCCATCAACAATATGTTGAGAGAAAAAGTGACCAACAAAGACAAAATTTGTCTTGTAGATGAAATATAAAACAAAAAACAATTGTTTCCCCGGCACTTTTTGTTATTAAGTACCAGGTTCTATTTTTGGTTCTGCAATGACAACTCACAGTTATGCAGCATACGGGCCATGCACTCAGAGAAGCTATACTTCAGAGCATAGTTTAAATAGTTTATTTTACTAATTTAAACTGTACATTTTGCTGTAAATATTAAGGTTTAGTTGACTAAATTAAGCTCAAAATATGAGTTGTAATAACATGGTCATAGATCTGATCTATGGAGATTGGTTCATTAGTTTATTATTCAATAATTAATTAATTAATTAATTAATGTCAATAAAAAAGTAAGGTAGGAAATCCGCCTGGATCTCAATACTGTGGTTACTCCTCCTCAGAGGGCAGCATATTATAACTACCTGTACTTCAGTTCTGTGTAATTCTTGTTATAATTAACAAGAGCCATATGTTAATTTAGTTACAGAGGAAATGAGGGTACGGTAGTATCTATGGCTATATAGATGTTTCATCACAGGTTTGAGTGTTGTTATCCCATTTAATCACTGTGCATTGTGGACGGAAACAAAATCACAGACTTAGGAGCCATATTGTCGTTACACTGCAGTTTTATTTACTTTTCTTTATTCTAATTTATTGATCTTTTTTTATATAGCTGTACAAAATTACCACAGCTAAATTGTGTATACACCTATCTTAATTTTGTAAATTTTGATGTGGCATTTTTTCTTTCGAAGTCACTGAAAATGTTGCTCATATGTTGCTCATACGACCTTGAAACCCATCGGAAAGCGGACTCTTGCAAGTTGTGTTTAAAAAACATTATCATTTTGCTAAATGGGTCTTTATAGTCCCGCCTTCGTTTCCACTTGCAGTCAGTTTTATGTTTAATTAATTTTACATTAGGAAACAGCAGCAGGTTCACATAATGGCCTTTTGATTCATTTCCAATTTAAATTTTATGAAAATCTCTTTCCCACCTATTGAGGATACTGTTGCATTTGCAAAGCGGAAAATCAAAATGTGAACATTTCAGAGTGCAATTTGTTTGTAGTTGTAGGTGAATTATGACTTTGGGGGTGAAATTCAAAGCAAGGTTTTATTTTGAATTTATTAAATTATAATGTTAGGTTTTTTAAAGGTAATGGTTAGGACTACTGGGAGCAAAATGGAGCTAATTTTATCTGGTTTCTCTTCACCTAGTTAATTTGTATTATTTGATTCCACTGAGTTTCTTTAATCATTTGTTATAAAAAATCTAACCCACTGAACAAAAATAGCCCACCTTTACTTCAAAACATGACTGATACCAGTTCAAACTGGCGTTTATAATCACCATACCTGGAAATGATTGTTACCAGGAATGGGTTAGCCATTATAGAAATTAAGTGAAATTTTAAGGGGAAGCACTTGGGCATTAGGAAAATCCATTAACAAGTGATTAATATTTCTTTTGCAATATGATATTACTGCTTTTTGCCCGTCACAATCAGTTTTGTCTTTCACCGTGCATTTGTTGGTTGTCACAAACGGTTTAATTTTATTGATTATTGTTTTGTTTTTCATCACTAAGGCTTCACCCAAAGCTGTGTCAGCTTTTTGGTTTTATGTTCAATGAATGGTTACATTGATGTTGATTTTTCACTGTGAAAATATCACGCCAGTCACACAAGATCATTGCTTTTTTTTTAATCTTCATGCACGATGTTATGTTTTTAAGACAAGATTTGTCAATTATCAAACTTCAAATCATATGATATCATCATCCTTTTTCATCATTTAACTACTAGGCTTAAGCAAGGGAAAAACCATTGGTTTCTGAGGTTTTTAACAAAAACATTAAAGATCTCAGCATAAAAAAGTAACTGATAAAAATAATCACTATTCTCTTACAACAACAAATTATTTTTTAAGATGGAAGGTGCAGAAATATCTATGACAAAACAAGTGCATGATGACAACTGATATTTGAATTATTTTACCATTGGGCATAGTTGACAATTACGAAATATTTTCTTTGAAACAATTGTTTGTATCAATTGGATATGAACCTTAACCAGACAGTAGTTATAATACATGTAGAGGTGCTCGATAGACGAAATAGATTCCTGTTCAAAGACGAGAGAAAGTAGTGTATTTTTATCACTGCTCTTGAGTCAGCATATCTGTACATATTACCATTTCTCTTTTGTAATTCCATTCACATTATTTGTAAAAAAAATAAATGTTGGTAAATAATTATTCAATATTTTTGTTTCTTTTTAACTGGTGATATATTATGTTGCAGTTTAAAGGATTTTATGAATCTCTCTCTCTCTCTCAAATTCAAATTCTTACAAATGCACTGGTAAAACCTAGTTTGGGTACAATGAAAACAATGTAGCAGACAAAACAAAAAGATACCACAAAAGCCTGATAAGAAAAACAAAAGCACAGCCAAATCCGCCCACCAATTTTGATTCAAGATCCTGTTTTCTGGTTGCTGTAAATGTAAGCATGTAAAATGTCAAAACAAAGATTGCTGGAAAATTTTACAGCAACTAAGCCAAAGTTTCTGCAATGACATTTTGCTTACATTTTCAAATGTGCATTTTTCATAAACAAATTAGTAAATACGTAGATGTATCAAAGATGTATTAAAGTCTAATGGACATTCCGTCTGAAAAAAAAAAAAAAAGAATTGATTCAGGATGATAAAATTATAAATAAAAAGAATAAAAAGAGAATAAGAAATAGAGTACTTCCTTTACTTGACACTTCAGAACTGAGAACAGCTGAATCCCTGTCCAACAATATCTCACTTTACACTTATGTAAACTGACTGCTACAGAGGGTAAGTAGGTTCACGAGCATGTCTTTAAACAGGGCCACCCAAAATGTTACAGACACAAGAAAAAGCCCTCTCAGTTCTACTACATCAGTGAACCACTCTCTGGAAACAAATTAAATTAAATCTGTTCCATCTGAGAGTGCCTTGTCTTATGTGTGAAATAAACCACTGGTTGAAAAAAACAGCTTTTTCTTTTCTTTCTTAATTTGCTTTTTTTTTCTTTTTTGCTGGTGATTGAACAAGTTTCTCATACAACTGGACACTGTAGTACTCTGTTTTGAACGGACTTTATTAGATTACTTACGCTTCCTTCTAGACCAAAATCTCATGAACAAATTATTCCATTAAGTTAAAATTAAATTATCAGATACAAGATGTAAAATATATATATGGTTCAGTAAGCTGCATATATATAAGCTAATGAAATGCCAATGACTCAGAAAACGTGGAATTTGGTGAAAAAAATCTCATCCAATACTTAAAGGTTCAAACTCATCATTAGCCACAGAAAGAACCAGATGTGTATGCAATAAAAATCACAAGCATGCTCAATACTAGAAAGGGACAAGATACTCTGAATTCTAGTACAACTGGTGCATTTTAACATGTGAGTATGTCAATTCTTTCAGATATCTGGACCATCTAGAAACTTTTATGTATTTGCTATATTTTAACCTTGATAGTCAAAGTAAGAAACCTGTCTCTGCTAACACCACTAAGAAGCAAAGATTAGAACTATATCCTAATCTGACTATGGAACTAGACAGCCAGACTAAACAGACGGTACCCCGCCCCTCCACCCCCCCCCCTCTACACACACACACACACACACACACACACACACACACACACACACACACACACCAAGCCTGTAGCCTGCAATTACAAAAGGGGGGGTTCTTTTTCTGAAAAAGCGAACCTTTTCCCATTAAAACTTAACGTACCTAGATCAAATCTTACCCAGAGTGGACCTTCTACCATCAAAAAGGGCGGTTCTTTCGACCCCCCCCTGGCTACGGGCCTGCACACACACACACACACACACACACACACACACACACACACACACACACACTTCTTCTTATCTCCATTTTACAGTCTCAGGATCAAACCACAAGAAATACCAGGGACATGCTGATAAAAGAGTTTCCAGTGATCTCTGACACATATTATGGTGTCCCATTCTGAAGCAGTCTCAGAGTCAGACCAGTCAACAACTGATGTATTACTGTATCCTGCAACTGTACACCATTCACTGCTACAGGAAAATATAAAATTACCTAGTCAATAAATTATCATTTTTTGCATGATCGCTAAAACACTCAAGTAATTCATGATTGTTTTCAACAGTTCTAGGCATCTAATATGCTGCACACATTCACCAAGATCACGTCAGTAAAACTCATCAAGGTAGAATAAATCGATATGCTGTATAAACAGTATTGTGTGTACAGACACTCTGGTACATGTACACTGACACAATCTCTATACTCAGACAAGATTTTGGGTTGTAAGAAATGAGTAGGAAGAAATGTTATGGCCATGGATCTGGGTGTCTTTTAAGACAGAAAACTACCGAGAAAAAAATTGGATTTTTGATTTAAATTTAAAAAAAAGGCTCCTGGCTGCTCCAGGTGATCCCATTTGGAAAGCAGCATACTATGCAAATGATTTTAGAACTACATCTTGTGATTTACCTGATCATTCTTCATAAAACATAAAACAAATAGTAAAAGATAAAAATGGTTGTTCGGGAAGGTCTCAGACCCACCACATTCTACGAAAAAAAAAAAAAATATCAGAGAAAATAAAAATACATGGTGGTAATGCATTTGAAATTAACAAAAGTTATGTATGAAGAGAACAGATGGAACTTATAGAAAACATTACTTTAATTGCAAGCAGTGATCTGTAAATGGGTTATTACTGTTTGTTATAACAGGTGTAGGGGAACGTCTGTTCCCAAGACAACCCCATCTGACCCAAGGTGATCTATGAACTCAGCTGTGCAAAATATCATATTCAATATAGGTCCTTTTAAATAAGTATATATTTTTATTAGTAGTAGAAGTATACATTATACACGAACAGCAATTTAAAATTCACTGCTGACTAGATTGTTATTAGTATTATTATAATTATCAAATTACTTAGGGCTAGAAGCAGACACATTTTATAGTATTTCAAAAAGACATAGATAATATAGACAACTAATTCAAAGAAACTACTATGAAAGGGCCAAGAAAAATTAATGGCTTCTGATTTAAAAAAATTTGGAAAAAAATTGAACTTCTGAAAATGTTGATAATGATCACATAACACGACAAATTTCAAGCAAGTGGCCAAAGTTTCCAAGTCTTAAAACAGCCAGCCATATCACCAGTTCTGTATTGGATATTGGAGTTTATAATGAGACATCATAATAGATACCCTGCTAAGAGCCAGCCATATCACAGACATAATAATCACCTTAGAGTCACGTCCTTCTGAAAATAACTCAAACAAACTGAGAGCAAAAACTATACAACAACAACCGTGAAGTCCGATCGATGCCTCAGTGTTAAAAGTGAGAAACGTACATAAATATTATTTTTAAAGATTTTCACCGCAACTGTTTAACTTCTTGCCCACTGTGAAAACATGGAAAGGAAACTTCATTCACAAAAGAAAAAATACAGTTCATTGACATAAAGGAAATACAGGTTCATAGTGTAACTATTTTTATTCTTATTCACCTACGATTCATTACACTTATCAAACAGTTGAGAAGGATCAACTTAATTGCAACCCTGTTATTTGTTTAATGTCACTGGGTTACAAGACTTGTAAATTTTCATCCATTACCAATGTGAGTAACAAAATTACATACACTCTTTTTCATATAAAGAAATAATGACTTTTTCCCTCAAGCCAGTGAGTAAGCAGTTTTCGGCTACTTTTAAATGACTTTAAAAATAATTATCTACACAACAAACAATACCTGCTGATAATAATACATGTGTGGAATTTTAACGTAGTTTTTTACTTATAAAGACAGAGTTATTTCAAGCACCCAAACATGCTGATCAAAATGACATATTAGGGTTTTTTAAAGAAAATAAACACTACACATGCCAGTGATGCCACAGAAAAGCAATACCAGCACTGAAAATAATCCACAAATATCTTAAGCCATCAACAATATCAGCATTGTCACTCGTTCACAAAATAAACACGAATCAGAGCATATTGTCAGAAAACAAAAGCAAAGAAATGAGTTAAACAAAATAAAGGGGGGGGGGGGGGGGAA